CTTTTCTAGCCGGCCATCTGATCTTGATTAGTATTGAGCGAAGACAACTGTTAATGAAGGTTTGTAGTTTGTTTGAGATGCTCTTTATGACGCGCAGTGCAAGTCTCTGATCTGTGTAGCGAGTAGCACTGACTTCACATTGGAGTTGAAAATCTGGATCTTATTTTTCATGCTGAGTGCTGTTGACCTCCATACATACTTGAGAGTAGTGAAATCTTGTCTTGCTTTTCCGATTCTTGCTTTGATATCCTCGTCAGTTCCGTTGACCTGTAGTTGAAACGATGCTTCCCAGGTAGGTAGAAGAGGTAGTTTCTTTCAGATTCCTTCCATTTTTGCTGATTGTTGTCTGTTGTTGTTGTTGCTGCTGTTGGTGGTGTTGTCCAGATTATTTTCTGTTAATGTTTGTGATACCCTGGTGATATATGTAACCGTACTGATCAGATTATGTTCGGTATATGGACACGCTGAACGGATGCTTCGATATTACTACGAATAAGAACTCAAAGTTACTTGTTTGTTGGTGGATAGCAGTAGAACTCAGGACGTGCGTTTCGTTGTATATGGATCTTTCGGTCTGGTATAATCATTCTCTAGTGAGCGATAGCGTTCCCAATAAGATTCGAACCTGATACTTATTGACTAGGCCACTGGGCCTTTCAAGAAGTCCATATACCAAACTGAAACTGATCAGTGCGGTCAAATATATCAAGATGAAATCACAAGCACTTATAAAATATATTTAAGATCAGGCCTGTCACACAAGAGGTGACCTTCATGATCCACTGGCTTAGTGGATGACACTCTGGTGTTTGAAGAGATATGTGTTGGGTTAGAGTCTCAGTGAGAAAACTGTCACTCAGTACAGAGCAAGTATATCCAACTGATGTATCTTAACTAGGAAGAAACGCACATCCTGAATTCTATTGCTAGCCACCAGCAAACTGGTGTTTTTATTCCTTCACGTTCCCAATGGAACATAGGGCTTCAAGCCAAAGCTTTGAATTGTCGGTAGCAGTGGTGTTTATTTTAACGGGGTGGAGTTGATAGCCTCATGACCAACCTTCCCTCTTCACTGGTCTTATTACCGACTTAGCTAGGTAAAGGAGTGCGTTGGCTGGGGATCGAACCCCGAACCACATGAGGCGTGGTTGGCGAGCATTCTACCTCTGTGCGACGGACGCAAGCAGACTGGTACCTTTGATATAACGAATGCTGATTCAAGATGAGATGGAAAACTGCGAATAGGGCAGAGTTCGAACCAATGACCTCCGAGTTAATAGGCTGAAACCCTATAGACTGAGCTATTAAATCTAACTGCTAATCCTCCCTTAATTTCCATTCATCAAGCTTCGTTTTGTATAGCTGTTTTACGAATGAGTGACATGCATATACTTGTTCATTATCACCACACTAGCTGCTCATTTGTATCTTCTCATTACATCATAAGGCTATTTCAGGTGGTTTCAGCAACTATTGTACGTTTGTTATACCTTTTGTATATGTATCACAAAATGAGATAAGCTATAAGATGGTTTGTTCTGTGTGATGTAAATGACAAGTGAAGTCGTAACGCCAATTTCTGCATAATTCACGAAAGGACTTCTTAAATCTCATCGAGAAATGAAATTTGAAGGCAAGAACAATAATCTTTACTTCACATGTGAATGGTTTCAACAGTTTTGGGTCCTCTAATTAGAACCGTTTTATCATATAGCTTATAATGCCATTTCACAAAAAAAACTTCAAAGTTGCATTAATGCGTAGCATTTCTGAAAGCCTCATTTACTATTCCAAAATCTGTTTAGAATATTTTCCAGTGTGGTGAAAACAGCGAAATTAGGTTTATAGTTTACTAAGCAAAACTAAATGTCAGAAAACAAAACTGACAGTTATTTAGTGATCCTTGGATGTTGTAACAGCAGCTCTTTGAGTGTCAATAGATAACAACAAAGTCTAGGTCCAGAGTGAACTGTTAATTGCATTCGATAACTTCACTTTCTGAAATCAGCTTCCATTTCTCAAGTAAAAGTTATAGCCAGACAAATAGCTAAGATGCTAATCAATGAATGTGTGTCTGCTGATAACTCGACAAGATGGGTATCATCACCTACCGGTAATGAAAAACTCCGCTTTATTCAGCTCTTGAAATAAACTAACTAAAAGTAGCAGTGAAGTTGAGTATTTCATAATAATGAAAATAAAATTAGACGTATAAGGAGTGTCTTTTCTGCTAAATATTCTATAAGTGAAGCCCTTATCTATTATTTATTCATGTATTTCCTAGTAAACTGATTATTTTGCAATGAGCATTAGTCAATAACCTCTTAGGGGATAAATTAGGATCATATGAGAAGAATATGTATGTATATATCTGTCCGTCAATGAAAATTTTACTTATCAGAACAAAGACAAAAGCAACACTAGAGGGAATCAAATGGGCGTATTCAGTTTTTTTGCCCTGCTTCTCCCTGTTTTTGTTGTTGTTGTTGGCTTATATTTTGCCTTGTTTCAAACTTTGTAGTAAACAAAACTGCTAAAATACTCAGACTGCTTACTCCTAATTATACCAATAATCATAATAATCATAGTAATAGTGTGTATTGTCTTTCTCACTACTCACTTTATAGTTGGCAATCAATCTATTCAGATGTTAAAAGAAATTCATTATTTCCTAGCTGTGCTCCTATTGTATCTGCCGCGTACCTCCTGGTCATAAGATAGAATATGTGCACATGCAGAACAATGTGAACTATTCGCAGTACCAATTTTAGTTGTAATGCTAAATAAGTCCAATGTGGCTGCTGGAATGAAAATTAAACAGTCCTACTCCTTTGATTGCAACGTTATTTATATTCAGCATATCTTATGAGATTGTTTCACTGTTATACTTCAGGATGCAATTTTCAAGGTCAAGGCGCTAAGTAAATACTTATACAAACAAAACAGTCATTCCCGGTTCTACATGAGACACATACTAGTAAAATATCACCCCTCCTGTAGATCGTGTAGAGATGCAAATAACGGAATCGTGTAGTATTCATACACACAGTAAATTGATATGTCGCCGGCAGCACCATAGTAAAAAAAAAGATTTTCAAGAATTGGTTTTTGCAGGGATTTTGTTTGATTAGTTGAAGGATTTCATCATGAGCTGACATTGGTTAGAGAACCATTGGAAAACCGATGCAGAATACTAGACAGCTGTTTCTTCAGCCTGGTTTGGGTCTCTGCTTCAGCAGAATGCACCTACTGACAGGGTTCGAACCCAGGATCTTCTGGTCACAAGGCGACCTAGCTCGTAGACCATTAAGCCACTGGGACCCGATCCAGTCGCCAGTTTATGAATTCCAACTTCTGCCAATTCACGATATAGCGCGATCACTAACGAATGTCATCACCTACGAGTATTTTTCCTCATATCCGACCTGCTGTACCCCACTAGTCACGACTTCCCTCTAGAATCCAGGTAACTACCTTCGTGAATAGGGTCAGTTGCTAGTGAGCATCAGACTGAAGAGGCCCAAACAAGGGCAAAACAACTGTCCAATACTCCCACGTTTACCAATGATTCTGTAACTGATGTTAGCTCATGATGAAAAATAGATTTCTTTAAGAAATGATGAAAGCTAGTAAATCAGTATATACGAGGTAGCACCAGACTTTTATTTTGTCTAAGACTGGGACTCATTTTCAATGATCTCTTAAGTAACCAGGCCCGACGCCATCAGCTTACAAGACAAGTAATATACTGTTCAACTCCTAAGGCCAGAATCTAATGACCATTTATTTTCAACTTCTGCCAGTTCATGGTATAGTGTTGTCATCATCTATCTTCATTGGTAACTGCTCTGACTTCATTGGAACCAAAACTTCAAATTAGAAACCTAAAAAAGTTAATTTCGACTTTAGTTATTAATATACAGCAGAATGATGTTGACATTAGATGGTTGGAGGCAATCGAACCCCATGCCCGAATAGCTCAGTGACAACGTCTCTGACTGCAGCACTGGGTGACACGGGTTCCATTCTCAGAAAGGATATGAGACCCTTCAAGGTTGCAGATACGCCTTGCTGACTGGTGAGTGCCAGACAGCACGAAAGCTAGACCCAAGGCCTCCTGCCAATTGCCTCCAACCATCTAATACCAATAATTCACAGTGCATCATGACGGCAAGCCACCTAGCATGGTGGCCACATTGCAAACCTGACTGACAGAATTCAGTCTGCACCAGAGATAGGACTGAATGTATTACACTAGTTACTGACTAGTGTTTAGTCAAAATAATTTCCTAATTATTTATTTAAAACAGATATAATTTTGTAATATGATATGTAGTTTTATTAAATAGTGCAATGCATATTTGTTATTCTACTTCAGTGGTCCATTAAGTCAGGCATTCAACTCTTAACTGTTAAGGTCACTAATTTGATTCACACTCAATCCTAATACGATTTAGTTTTTTACTTGCTGCCTATATTTCCCCTATTTTCTTTATAGTACTAGTCTTGAATGATGAACTAATAATTAGTACTTGATAACAGCATGATCTTGTTCCGACCCCCACCTAGTAATGGTAACTAGCCACCGTACTATGTATGATCAACAGTTGAACTCATAAGCACCATTGTTTACCGTGCACTGAAATCACTAGGCACACTAAGATTAAGGGTTTTACTAAACAGGTATGATATGTGAATCGGTTATTGGATGATAACTAGTGTACTATAGGTACTAGACCCTATCCGTCAACTATGCAATATGGTCGACCAATAAGTTAAATGTACTATATATTCAAATGTACTTTAGCACCAGATGGACTCAAAAAGGCGACTGCTTTATTAACCCATTTAATAAAATTTCTAGTTATTAACACCAGTAAAACTTAATTTAAATTGAGTTTTTCTTTTTAAATTTTAGTTTATCTACTATTACAATATTTGTAAAATATTAGAGAAATAGAATAAAGAGTTGTTTATTCCTTTTTTTATCTATTTAAAAGACTGGGTTTGGCGTTCTGATCTGGATGTCCTGTTTGGTCTACACAACGTATTCATACAGTCTACAGGTCACAGTGAAGCATTATCATCATCTTCACAGTCTTCATCGTCTTCACTACCATCTGGACAAACTTCTAATCCATCATCAGGCACAAAGTTGGATACTCAAGGAATTCTTAAAGAATCCCGCCTATTAAACAATGATAAGTTAGCTTGGGATGATCTAAGAGCAATATCACCGGAATTTTTCAATTTAGCTATCGCATTTCTAGTGCTCAGTTTACGTTATCCAAGTGTATTTTGGTATACAAATCGTGGATTTTCCTTTGTCTTCTCTTTACTTTTACTGCTGACTGGTGTAAACGCTTTACTGGAATGCTGTGCAACATCTATACTAGTCCGCCTAGGCTGGAATCAACATTTACTACCACGTGATATTTGGCCTAATGAATTAAAACTTGTCACCTTATCAAATTTACCTGTGAAAGATTCAAGTATAGTAAAAGATGCAGTCAAATCGAATGAACCCTTTGAAGAAAAGTCAGATTTCGCAGAAATGTTAAGTGTAGAATCAAATGTTACCCTAAGTATTATTGGACCATTAGCTTTGTCATTTTTTGGAAATGTCCTGTTTCTTAGCCTTTTCATCGCAGTATTCGAGTATGGTTATCATCAGTTTACAGAAAATCTTGCAGCTTATAGACATTATCTTCTTGGATCGTGTAATGCAAACGGTTATCCACTAATCAACGGTGGTCTTATAGCAAATAGTGAATTAATGGAGAGACGTAGTAACTGTGGTGTGAATGGCAATGGTTTATCTTCAGGGAATGTATTCAATCATACAGTGACAGAGTCAATACATTCAGGTCAAATGAGCGGTGGAAAATCGAGTCATTGTCTAGGCAATGGTAATGATACAACAAATGGTTGGAATTCACGTAAAATTCGTGGTTTTGGTAATGGTGCAGAGTTGTTGCATACTGGATGTCGGTGTTATTTGTATTCATATACACCGCATATATGCGCTTTAATTGGTAGCTTAATTGTATTGGCGTTTAAAATTCCAATTATGTGGGATTGTATCCTGGTCTACAAAGTAACACGACATTCTATTCTGTTATTCAATGTGATCTCAGGAATTATTGTCATATTCGTTTGGTTTATTGCTTGGTTCGCGTTTACACTGAAACCAGCTTGGAAATTTCAAGTAAGTCAAAGCATATTTTGACACACATTTTATTTCTTTAGTATGTGGTAATATAACTTGCATCTCTAAGAGAATAAACTAGTTCCTCCTGTGGTTACTTCTATTTTGTCTACTAAGTAAGAGTTTTTAAATACAGAGAAATTTATTTTTTTTAAATATTTTTGATTACAGCTTGATTCCACACCGTATTTTTCGTTACAGGTATGGAATTTTCAGCATGTGATATCGGTAGCCCAAATTTTGCAGGCCGACCATAGATATCAGGTGTGCGTCGGCAGGGGATTGAATCCCGGAGTATGTTCATGGTCGACGAGAGTCCTAACCACTGTGCCACCGACGCACATGTAAGTTATTCACAACTTTACCTCTAAATCCTTCAGAAATGAGAAAAATGAGCGTACTTTTACTAAACATGAATTAGTACCTTACAATTAAGGAAAGACGAAGTTCCCACAGTCTCATAACAATAACTCCAACAGAAAAAATGGAAACAGAAACTTTTAGTCTCCTGATTAGAAGTTGCACTTAAATTATTAACTGTATGTAACTTTTCCGCATGCAGCGGATGGAAATGAAACCTGAAAGAATGCCAGGAACAGACAGTGATAGGAATTAAATTCCAACGAGTTTCTGAAATCTGTTTAGGCATATTTGTTATCTGGAAAGTCGTCGTCAGCCGTTAACACATATCTATCGATTTTCAAGTGTTGATTTGCACGAATTTTACTGATTAAAATTTTGATCACAATCTGATTCTGGTTAGAGAACCACTGAGAGCTAGGGAGTATTCTAGGGTCGTTTCGTCCCTGTTCGAGACTCCTCATTGATACACACTCATGAACTCACCAGGGATCAAATCTAGAACCTTCAGGTTACAGGAAGATTATTCAACCAAAAGTCCCTGCAAGCCAACTTTTGAAGACCAGTGACTACAGGATTAAGTTTCCTGAATTTCTAGTGAGAATTCGTGATCAGCGGGATCCAGCAAGTCGTGTGTGAAGACAAATACTTACGACATTGTTTGGCGGTCGCGCCATACGTCGCTAACTGGCAGAAATGAGAGTTAATAGGCCGTTGAATCTCATTCCAGTGGCTGAATGGCATACCTGAAGACCCTAAGTCTCATTCCTGGTGAGGCCATAGGTAGGTACTACTGAGGAGTCCCAAACAAGTAAGAAACAGCTGTAATCTACTCCCTGATTTTCAGTGGTTTCCTAAATGAAGTCATTTCGTGACCAAAATAGAAAACATGTGTATCTATCGAGTTTGAAAAGGTTGTAAATTAATTCTCATACTCCTAAAAATTTTATTATTCTGATACAAACAACAGCAGTTGATAGTTAGTGCAATTTTTCGGCCTGCATTTTCATTATGAGTAATGCGTGTGTAAAATTTTCAATGTATGGCCTTGGTTGAGAAAATTGAGAGAATCCTCATCACTGCTAATAAAGGGCAAAGAAGTGAGTTGTTTTACTAATGTATAAACTCAAAACCACCACATATTTAGTATCATATACTAGGATGAGACAAAAACAGAAGAGTTGGACAATGAGTATGCGAGACTTTATCTCTTCCACATTTGTTCACTTTTTTTGTTATTGTGAAAATACATCTAAATTCTTGGATTAGAAAAAGAAGTAAACGCTATCCAGGGTAGTTAGTTAGTTAGCTAGCTAGTTAGTTAGTTTGTTTGTTTGTTAACCTTCAGTGTAGATGAAAGAAGGGAGAAAAGACAATACAAATGCGCCCATTAAAAATGTCATTCATAGTAATCATAAAAATACAAAGAATGCTGGTCCAGGAAACATCCTGCACGGTTATTCAGGTAAAATAGAAGGATACGAAAAAGAGAGGAAGGTAGGCAGAAGGAAAGACAGAAGAGAGAATTCATCATTAATTGATAAACGACTGTACAGAATGTTATTTAAGTACTTCGGAGTAACTGCAGCAGATAAAAAAAGATTTCTAAGATTAAGATGTTTAAAGCTAAGTGGGGAAGTATATGAATTGTTGTAAATGCAGGCGATCATTAACGTACGAAACAAGAACTGGTCTACAGATGAGATCAAATAAAAGACAAAAATAGAATTAGGCGCAGTTTTCTCTTAAAAAAACTTAAATCCTGGTCACGTCTTTTGATAGTATCTGAGAATAATATCTAGATTTCTTTGGAAATACATACATAAAATATTTAGCCTTACCTTATAAACTTTTGTAATCTCAAGGGTGAACAACTTTAAAACAGGAGTTTTTTATGTTAGTGAAAATGCCATGTTTTCCGGTACTATCGAACACAACCTGGGTAGGAAGCAGGACGATATATTGGAATTTCCAGTCATTACTGAGATTTGGTACATTAAATTTATCAACTATGTGAAAACTTCACTATTCTGATGAATATTTTGAGCTAATCTATCCAAAAGTATACTGATAATGGTAGTGTGAGATACTGTTTTATCTAGTAAGCGGATAGCACTGTTATTTGTTCCTACCATAGTTGATAACATTTTATTTCCAATGACAAGTCAGCCAGTATACCGATCAATGAAAACTATTATCCGCATATCTCATTTCCTGCTGTTTTTTCCCGGTTTTATCGCAAGATTTTCGAGAGAGGAGGTGTGTAATTTAAAAATTTCGTCCAAACAACCAAAATGTTCCATAGTCTCTATATAAGATGATTTTTAAAGGCTCACTCCAATTCGTTGATTTAATCCTAAAACGAATATTTGATGTTGAGTAAACGTAAGCCAAGATGAAACATCTATTTAGTTGTCTTTGTGATTGAATGTTGTTTTATCTAAATGACATCGGCTGGTTACAACATTATGCTCAAAACAGTGAGTACGGCTTACTGATATTATTTCAGTGGCACTGACTAAAACCTTCAGCTAAGTCTGTTATTTGTTTGACTGTTTACTCTAAAGTAAATCAGCTGTGAACAATTTTGCTAATTCATGGAAAAAACAGTATAGACTGACTAAAGCATAAGTCATGAAAAGGATTTCCAACAAGTGACAGACTTTTATCAACAGCTGCTTTTGCTGGCTGGCTGAATACTGAAGATCAAATGGCCGGCTGGCTAGAAAGAATCAGAAGCAAGAAAGTATGGGAACAAGCTAACCAAGGACCTGTCGTCCTACAAATGTGTAGTAGAAAATGGAGATGGATAGGGCACATGTTGAGAAGGCCATCGAATGACATCGCAGGCAATGCAGGCCATCTCTCGAGTGGAACCCAAGTGGGTCGTCGCTTCGAGGGTGACATGGAGAAGATCGTCTGATTAGGAAGAGACGAGAGATTATGGACAATCATGAACTTAGCTTAAGAGGACAGCAGAAAATAGAAGAAAGTGGAGATGTGTTATTGAAACCCTATGCTCCACTCGGAACCCAAGGGAACAACAATAATATAATAAAGTATAATTGAGTACATCAATTTTTACCAACAGATTCAGAAATATTCTTCATAGGGAGTTAAAGCAAGCTTACTGGGTGATTGAAAATGAGAGAATGGCTAGTTCCCAGTCTTTTAATTATGCCAAAAGGTTTCCGCAAGTCAGAAGTACTCTATTAAATACAGATGATAAGTAGGTGTGGATAGGCATGAAGAAGGATTAGTGATATTCAGTCATGTGTGTCTCATTATCAGGCTCCTTGAGTTCATAATCACTGTCGAGGTTATTAATGTTTTACTTTATAGCTCAACATTGAGCTAAAATGTGACACAATTCATAAATCACTGATGCTGTTAGAATACTGTGTATTTAAAATCTGTAAAAGAAATTAATTTTTAAAAGAAAACTAATGTGGTAACATTATTTGTATTGTCCATTGTAAAAATGGTTATGTACCACTACAGGAGAAATCCTCCGTTTCAAATCCTCCTGTTATTTGAGTTTCTGTTGTTGCTTTCGTCAACTTCCTGTCACATCAGTATCAATGTGCTTCAGTGACGTTATATGTGAGAGTCTTATTAACATTAAGTGTTAAAGTCAAATAGCACTACTTATGTTTTTGGGTTAATTCGCATTTCCCGTTCTAATTTCAGTGGAAATAACATCATTTACTGAGAATGCAGGTTTATCCTGATGATGGGTCTCCAATAAAACGAAACGGGCATTCTACATTCCATTGCTAGTTACCTTCGTCCAAAATAACACAACAATATTTTAGTTCTAAGCGTACAGTTATTAGAAATATAAACGTGTGAAGACCACTGTACACTAGTGACGAGTGAATTAAATCAGTATTTATGGATACACAGATTTCAATGTCAGAAGATATCAGGTATTGCAAGAGTTATCATAAAGGATAACCTGTTGCAATAATGCAGACTTTATCATGCTAAATACCGAAATAAATATGAATCCTGGTAAGCGTAACAAACAGATTAACTTCGAAGATCGCCTGCTACAACAGTGCTACTAGATAATGATATCCTGGACCGACGCGAAGAATCTAGAAGACCTGGATTTCGCGCGTGGATGATTTATGTTTGATGTCACACAAAATAGAAGACTTACAAGCGAAAACTGACAAACTGGTTGAAGAACTAGCAAAGACAGGATTCCAAGTGAACATAGACAAGACGGAGGTTATGAAAATAACCAACCAACAATAACAACAGCAGCAGCAACATCCAGCGCCAATCACCATCAACGGGAGGGATTTGAAATAGGTTACTTCATTCACTTATCTAGGGAGCATTGTCTCAACCACAGGAGGAACGGACGAGGATGTCAAATCGAGAATCGGGAAGGCGAGAAACACATTCATCAACCTGAAACTAATCTGGAAATCTTCCACTGTCACTCAGCCTGCATCAACAACAAAGTCATTCGGATTTTCAATACAAACGTCAAGTCAGTCAGTTCTTCTACACGGATCAGAAACTTGGTGAGTCACAAAGAATATTTCCAACAGGTTTTAGACCTTTATCAACAACTGTCTTCGCTCTATACTGAAGATCAGATGGTCGGAAAGAATCACCAACAAGAA